AGAAAAAAAAGAATCAAGATATATCATATACAGGTACAAGTTCCCTAAGATGAATGTGACCATTATGTATTTCTAAATTGTTCCAATAAACTTATCACACACACACACACACACACACACACACACACACACACAGAGGCCCCTGCTCATGCTAGACACTTGATTTACCACTGAGCTATACCTCCTGAACCATTATACTACCATTTATTATTACTTCATTCACCACCATAAGGTATGATACTAAAAGCTCCCAAGTATACATCTTTAGTTTACATTTTTTAAGAAGCCAAACCTTAAATTGTTTGCTAAAGACTTGTAAGTACCATATATTTAAAAAACTAGCATTTTCAATGTATTCTCAATCTTATTTTTCTAAATCCTTGTGGCTTTCCTATATGTTAATAGCATTACAGTTATCCAAATTGAAAAATGTGACCTTTAAATGTTTTTCTAACTCAAAGATTTATTTTTTTAATTTTGAGATAAAATCCGTCTTCTAAATTTTTAAGAGAAAAAATTAAAAATAACAATAAAACAGTCTCAAAACAGGCTAGTAGGAGAATAACAATAATTACATTGTGTATTGTTATAGTCATAATTAACTCCAAGATTTATCAACCTGGTTACCTGTCACAATTACTGAGCTTTACATGCTTCCCTCTATAATCTCTCATACCTATTCCCTCCTGTCCTTCCATATAGTCATTAATCAGTTCAAAGCCAAACCCAAACTCTTCCTTATAATATTCCCTAATGTATTGCTAAAAAAGGCTAATTATATATATATTTTCTTTCTATATCTTTTAGTCTGCAATTCAAGGTCAACAATTTACCTCCATGTATCTCTCCAGATAATTTTTTTCCCAATAGTTTTTTAAATGATACATTAAAAATTATGTCAATCAATTATCCTATGATTTTTTTTTTTTTTTCAGAACTGGGGATGGAACTCAGGCCCTTGCACTTGCCAGGGAAGCGCTTATTCCACTGAGCCATCTCCCCGGCCCCTATCCTATGATTTTGATCGCTAGGGACATTGTCAATAGAAAATTCAATTCCATACTTCCTCTGTTAGAAATTATATTGTCTTTATGTTATAATTACTTATGAACCTGTTTCATATCCCCAGTTAGAAAGTAAGATTGAGGGTTAGGTTCACATTTGCTACTTTTTATATCCTTTATATGCTTTACTACAATACTTACCTGTTTCAATGATTTTGGAACTAGGTGAGATATTAAAAAGAACAATATACTATTCTTGTACATACTATACATATATTAACTATCAATTTGCTGAATTCATGAAACATGTAATATTTTTATGTCACCCAAATTTTATTTCACTAAGAGTAAAATAAAATCATTTAGCTCATACTCTTATTTCTAAAGTGCATATGATGACCTTTTGTATACCATTCAGCGCTGGTCTCACTTTTCTTGACTTCCAACTTCAGGCAAATTATTTTACTTTAATTTATTAACATTTATGAAATGGAAGATGCCAATAATACTTATTCTTATACCCTAAAGAAGATGTAAAGACCAAATGAAATTCTGTATATTAAATTCTTACATGAACTATACACAGTAAAAGTGGAAGATAACTTCATTGTATTATAATTTATTCATCTTTTATGATTACCAGATAATTTATAAAGAAGCCAGTTACCTCATTATCATGATATGCCCATTGGCACAAAAGCATGCCAAGCAGGCACTGTTACACATGACCACCACATCAGCTCGCAGTATAAAAGATGTCTCAGTGATGTTATGAACATAAAGGCAAGTCTGAGAAGGCAGTGAAAAGACTTTGGCTTGTTTTTCTGAGCAGATTATTGTATACTGATGATCTCCTGTTTCTTGGGATGAAGGTGAGGAATTAATGACCAATTTTCTTTTCCAAGTTTTCTCATTTTCATCTATATTGTTTGGATCCCTCCAAACTTCATATGGTGGTTGCATTAATCCACCAGTTCGGTCCATACAGGATAATGTTAGTACAGCTCCTTTCAATGATAGGAATGTACCTACAAAAACAATTTTATATCACTGGCATGTAAAATTATTTCTAAAACAGCTTATTCATTAATATGCAATAAATGTTTTACCTTTATATACACAGACATATGCATATACGTACATAGTGCATTACTATTTTAACTAATATGCATCAATCAGTAGCTTTTTTGTAACAACTTGTAAACAGAACATTAGGTCTAAAAGGAGTCTACTATATCAAATTGTTAAATTGTCTCATTATATTAACAGGAAAATATATCCCAACAGATAATATAACATGGGTCAGGTCATATGTAAGTTAGTGGCTGAACCTGGAGTAGTATTCTGGTTTTCTGATTCTTAATTCAGGAATCTTTCATTGTTCTAGTCTTTAAAAAAACTTTTAAATGTCAACTTTAAGAAAATATATGACTTTCACTTATTAAAATAATTTCAACTGAAAAAATTGTATCATCTGATATTATTTTATTTCAGTCTCTCACTTTCTAGAAATTGCTAATTTTTTTCTGTTTTGTTTTGCTGAGACAAGGTATCATTTGTTTTTCAGGCTAAGCTTGAACTCACTATGTAGCTCAGGCTGGCCTCAAACTTGTAGTGATCCTCCTACTCCAGCTTCCAAATTCTTGGATTACAAGTGTGCACCACTATGCCCAGCATCATTTTTATCTGAAATTGGACATCAATTAATACATGTTCACAGTGTGTCCCTGTCAATAAGTAATGCATGACTGTCTAAATATCTTTGCCTTCTTGATTTAGAGATGGCCTAATGTAGCTTAAAAAGAACCTGGGCATGGTAACACATCCATGTATGTAATCTCAACATCTAGGACAATGGGGCAGGAGGATTGTAAATTGAAAGCCAGATTGCTAGGCTATATAAGTAAGTTTGAGGTCAACATGGACTACCTAGTGAAAACTTGTCTGAAAAAATCCAATCAACTAATGAAACAAAGTATTTTGGAAGCACTTTACTTATTCTCAATGCTTATATGGTATCAGCATGAAAATGACAGTATCTCAAAGAGGTGCCCTTGACAAAACAGCTGCTTTGTTTCCTGTAGGACAGTAATACAAAAGGAAGCATTCTTTGCATTATTCATTGGGAACTAGAGCTCAAGAAACCAGGACAAAGTATTGTTTTTCTATGATTTCTGTTACTAATGTCCTTTCTCCCTGATTCCAGAGTCTCATGTCTTCTATCAGCATCTTGCAACTGGCAATCTAAGTTTATTACCTCATGCAGAATAAAATCTCATATTCTTAATAAAGCTTTTGCAGAATGGCAAAGGGAAGACACATAGGAGAGGAGATCAGAGAAATAAAGTGGTACTATTAAGAAATATCCTGTAGGGCATGTTAAAGATTTTCTAAACTTTTTACTTGGAATGAGATGAGAGGTCAGAGATTAGGAATGATATAATTTAACTTTCATTTCATAGGATTAGTCTTTTTAAAGGGCCCATCCTAAAGGATGTTGAAGTTGGAAACAGGGAGAGCACAAAGGAGGTTAGCATACCAATCCAGGAGAGAAACAGGTTTGCTTGAACTAGGTGGTAATAATAAAGATGGTGACATGTCAGAATCAGAATATAGTATATTATGAAGATAAGTCACTTTCTGATAAGGTATAAAAGTGTGAGGTGAAGGATAATACTAATGTTTTTGTTCTGAGAGCATGAAGAATGGAACTGTCATTAATAGATGTGGGAAAGACTATGGGAAAAAAACATAGGAATATTAGGAGCTAAGCTTTTGACATGTTAATTTTGGATGTTTATTAAACATCCATAGAGATGTCAAATATCTAAATATTTGTTTCAGAAAGCTAACAGTAGATTTAGATTATACATATAAATACATGTTCCATCAGATTGTAAATGGTATTGAAAAGTGAGGTTTTCTGATTTCATCCAGGACTTCATTAAGTAGACAAGAGAAAAAGTTCAAGAAGCTAATCTTCCAGTGAAAGTGGTTGGCAAAGATAAGGTGACTGAGTGTGCTTGGAGTTGTTTCTTCATCTTCTAATACGTTTATTGATCCTTATGTCTGTTTTCTTCTACTACCATTCTATTTTTACCAAAGTAGCTCTGGGGTAGAATTTTAAGTCAGGGACTGTGATGCCTTCTCCCTTGCCTTTGTTATCAAGAAATACTTTTGCTATTCTAGGTCTCTTGTGGTTACAAATGAATTTTAGCAGTGTTTTCCTCTAGATATATAAGGTAAGCAATTGGTATTTTGATTAGGATTGCATTAAATATATATAACAATTTTGGGAATATGGTTATGTTTACTATTTTGGTTTAAATGACAAATAAATATATGAAAAAATGTTCACATCATTTGTCATTCAAAGGATAAAAATGAAAACAATTCTAAGATTTTATCTCACTCCAGAAAGAATGGCTATTATTTTCACCAATAAATAATGCTGGCAAGATCCAGAGCGCAGGCCCGGCATGTGAGGTGAGATGACCCGGGGCTGCCAGATCCTGAATAGACCCAGAGCACAGGCCCCACGTGTGAGTGAGATGACCGGGGCCCAACAGATCCCAAATAGACACAGAGTGAAACCATGGATCATGAATAGACCCAGAACGCAGGCCCGGTGCGGAACCCTTCAGCAGAACTCCCTGCAAAGAGGCTAGAGGTAAGACCCATCCAGCTGTATCAGGAGAACATCTTGCCAGAATGACACAAAAGGTTCAGCTCCAAGGGCTGCAGCAGGAAGAAGTAGACCCACAGCCAGATCCAAGGAACACCCACCTGGAGGAATCTGAACATTGTAGGTCCGGACCTGGTGCTAAGGTAATAACTCTATCTAAGCTCTACACCAAAGGTCAGAAGACAGTGGTTTACAAAATGACAAAGAAAAGGAACAAAATGCAGTCTCAGGCCCTGAATCCACCCAGTACAAATGCAGAAGACACTAGCATAGAGGAAACTGGAAATCACACACCTGAAAATCTCTGAAATAACAGCATTGGAGGTAAAGAAACAACTGCAGAAAGGTATAGAAGAAATCAGATCAGAAATAATTTCTGAACTAAAAAACAGTGATAACTATAATCAAAGTAGTACTAAGTGCTTCTAAAGAATACACTGATAAAAAACATAGAACACAATATAAAAATGATGGAACCCCTGAATAAACAATCTAGGAAAGATATAGAGTGTATGAAACAGATTCAAAGTGATATACAGGAAATTAAAACCTCAATCACAAGCTGGCAAAACCATTTGAGCGAAAATGAAAATAAACTTTCTGACCTTAAAAACACCATTGGAGCTAGTGAAAAAGTAAGGAAAGATCTCTTAAAAACAACTAGGATGCAGGAAAAAATAATTCAATACCTGCAAGACATGCAAAGATGAACAATGTGAGACTAATAGGCATCAATGAGAAGGAAGGAGTCAATACAAATGATATAAAAAG